ATTCTGTCTAATTCTCAGCGATGAATGTGTAGCTCTTCCAGGGAAGATGTTTTGGGTGATTAGAAATCCCCTCACACCTCTAATGTGGCACTTGCTGATTTGATATGTTAAGTGACTTCATCATTCTCCCAGTTGAGGGCTGGGTCATGTGTCCATTACCCAGAGTAGGGTAAAGTCACCCCTGGGCTTAGGCTCTGCACAGGCCTATGTTCCATTTAAATCTAACTTAACAGGGCTGATGTAGGACTTCTGTGGTGCATAGACATTATGCAGGTCCTCTGCACAGGGTAAATTTCACCCACTGGTGAGCACTTCTTCACCCTAACAGTCCTCTTGAAATCCATGGGACTACCTCGGGTGAGTAAAAGCTCACGAGTAGGAGCTAACATGCACGCCCTAACTGTTGAATCATTCAGGAGTGACTCATCTAGATGTTTAGCTTAATTAAAGGTCGGCACGTGCTTAACTGCTCTGCTGAATCAGGGCCTGTTTTCCTTTTGCTCAGGTTCCTCAGACTGCATGACTTGTGTCTGATGTTTGCTTTGGCTACTATTTTAATCCGGCAAATGAAGGGTTAATGATGTCTAATAATGGATGGCCACCGGCTAAACGGGGATGTAGGTGGGACTGAAGTGGTGGGTAACCCTTGTGGTGATTCTCTGCCCTAGAGGGAATTTCACTTCGCCCACCAGGAGTAATGTGGGGGCTGTTTTTTGTAGCTGTTTGGATTTGCTCCGGGGTTTTTATGCGTTTGGCCCCCATGTAAATCCAAACCGTACACATAATACGAGTAGGATTTTCAAAGAGGGCTGGAAATATGGTGCTAGCTCCCACTGGAAATCAATGGAGTCTGAGCACTTTGATCTCTTAGAATCCTTTGGAAATGCCGGCCAATTCATTGCTAATAAAATATAATACCAATGCCCCATTTGTGCATCCACAGAGGATGTTGTGAAGGCCAAGACCATAAAAGGGGTCAAAAAAGAGCTAGATAAGTTCATGGAGGATAGGTCCATCAATAGCTATTAGCCGGGATGGGCAGGGATGGTGTCCCTAGCCTCCATTTGCCAGAAACTGGGAATGAGCAACAGGGGATGGCTCACTTGATGATTCCCTGTTCTGTTCATTGCCTCTGGGGCACCTGGCATTGGCCACTGTCGGAAGACAGGATACTGGGCTAGATGGACCTTTGGTCTGACCCAGTCTGGTTGTTCTTATGTTCCCTGTGTACAAAGAAATATTATAGTTGCATCAATGCAATCAAGTCTGGAGCCGAATGCCAGCAAGGGCTGGCAAACAGAAGGGTATTTCGCCGGGGATGCTGTTCCCATTGGGAAGGGTTATATGGTGAATATGGGAAAGAGCTGGCCAGGGAGCAGGGCAAACCCACCAGTGAGTGGGGCAGGAGCATCCTAATGGAAGGAGCAGATTGTCCAATCCCTGTGCATAGGCGACAGCACCAGAGATACCAGGCCTGGCTGCGATGCCACCTTCCCCATAGTCCTGCAGGGACGGTGCAGCTCCACACAGCACCCCTCGCCCCTTACAAAGGCACAGCCTTTACTGACATGCTCACTGAGTGGCCAGGTTCCAAGGCATGGTGCTAGGGTGACCAGACAGCAAATGTGAAAAATCGGGACAAGGGTGGGAGGTAATAGGAACCTATATAAGAAAAATACCCCAAAATGGGGACTATCCCTATAAAATCAGGACATCTGGTCACCCTACACAGTGCAGCTGTTGTCACGGCCCAGGGTGCTTTGTGGAGAGTTTCTATGTGAAGGGCAGGAACGTCTGAGAGCTGCATGAGCCTGTGCACGAAGAGTGACTGCACTATCACAATGACACCACGTGGGGCCTTGGAAAGGAGGTAGCTGGATTGTCCTGAGTCGGTAACGCTGACTTCACTTTATAATGACTCTACATAAAGAACATAAGAATGGCCAGACTGTGTCAGACCAATGGTCCATCCAGCCTGTCTTCTAACTGTGGCTGGTGCCAGAGGGAGTGAACAGAACAGGGCAGTTATCCAGTGATCCATCCCCTGTCACTCAGTCCCAGCTTCTAGCAGTCAGAGGCTTACGGACCCCTGGAGCATGGGGTTGCATCCCTGGCCAGCTTGGCTTCTAGCCATTGATGGACCTATCCTCCATGAACTTCTCTAATTCTTTTTAAACCTAGTTATCCTTTTGGCCTTCACAACATCCCCTGGCAACGTGTTCCACAGGTTGACCGAGTGTTGTGTGAAGAAGAACTTGCTTATGTTTGTTTTAAATCCACTGCCTATTAATGTCATGGGGTGACCCCTGGTTCTTGTGTTATGAGAAGGGGTAACTAACACTTTTTCTCCTCACCATTCATCATTTTATAGACCTTTATCATATCCCACCTTAGCCATCTCTTTTCTAAACTGAACAGTTCCAGTGTGTTTAATCTCTCCTCATATGGCAGCTGTTCCATACCCTAATCATTTTCATTGTCCTTCTCCATTTTTCCACTTCTAATAAATTGTTTTTGAGTGGGGTGACCAGAACTGCACACAGTATTCAAGGTGTGGGTGTACTGTGGATTTATAAAGTGGCAATATGATATTTTCTGTCATAATATCTATCCCTTTCTTAATGGTTCCTAACACTCTGTTCGCTTTTTTGACTGCCTCTGCACATTGAGTGGATGTTTTCAGAGAACTATCCACAATAACTCCAAGGTCTCTTTCTTGAGTGGTAACAGCTAATTTAGACCCCATCATTTTATATGTATCATTGGGATTATGTAATTAACATTGAATTTCATCTGCTATTTTGTTGAGTTTTGTGAGATCCCTTTGCAACTCTTTGCTGTGAGCTTTGGACTTAAATATCTTGAATAATTTTGTATCGTCTGCAAACTTTGCCACCTCACTGTTTATCCCCATTTCCAGATCATTTATTAGTATGTTGAACAGCACTGGTCCCAATCCAAATCCTTGGGGGACCCTGCTATTTACTTCTCTCCATTGTGAAAACTCACCATTTATTCCTACGCTTTGTTTCCTATCCTTAAGCAGTTACTGATCCATGCAAGGACCTTCCCTCTTATCTCATGACTGTTTACTTTGCTTAAGAGCCTTTGGCTATCAAAGGCTTTCTGAAAGTCAAGGTATACTATATCCATTGGATCATCCTGGTCCACATGCTTGTTTACATCCTCAAGAATTCTAATAGATTGGTGAGGTGTGATTTTTCCTTTACAAAAGCCATGTTGACTCTTCCCCAATATATCAAGTTCATTTCTATGTCTGATAATTCTGAGCTTTACTATCGTTTCAACCAATTTGCCAGATACTGAAGTCAGGCTTATCGGCCTGTAATTTCCAGGATCATCTCTGGAGTCTTTTAAAAAAATTGGCATTATAGAGTTATTTGGTTTCTTTCCCCTACATTTGATTTAGCTTGCATAGGTGCCACAGCAGACTGGAAAGTCACGTGTGGGGGAAAAAACCTTAGGGCCTGGAGTAAAACTAGCTCAAAGGTGCCACAGGACCCTCTGTTGCTTTTTACTCCAGCAGGCTATGCTTGATCTTAGCCTTCTCTGTTCCTGTAGCATGGTGACCCTGTACCAGCCTGGGAGACAGGGGCCTTGAATTCTTGCCTCCCTGGTGGTTTCTCTCTGGGTGTAATTCAGGAGTCCTGCAAGAGGCCTATGTACTAGTGAAGCCCGCTCATGTAAACGGTTCATTGGCTTCATGAAGGCCATTGCACAGGGTGAATTTCACCCTCCAGGAATTCTGTTACTAGTTGTACCCACGCTTCCTGGTCCAGGGGAGCAGGCTGGCGATATCTGTGTGAGCAGCTGAGATTTCATGCTAATGACCAGGCAAACCATTTACATTCAATAAGAATTCTTTTCGGTAATGATGACCTTACAGCACAATGAATGACAGACCACAGATAAATGGAGCTAGGGTTGACTAATATAATCCTTCCCTTGCAGGGCTCCATGGCTTTATGGCTTTTCAAGCTATTACAAAGGACGTATTTTCATTTGGGGTTCACATTTGTAACTGTAAATGTATCTATGACTGTATTTGCCAGGCCTCTGCTGGTAAATTATAATCTGTTCACGCTCTTATTGGAGCTGCAAGGTCACCGTTGAGACATTCACCTTTGGGAGAAGGAACAGGGACACAGCAGCTCGGAACAAAGATATTTTGATTTAAAAAAAACTATTCAAAGCTCCTCCTACCTAATAACATTCATTTGTCATTGGCAAGCCCATAGCCATCCGCCCCCGTGAACGAATAGTGGGTCCCACACAGAGAAGCACAGTGCAGTTTGGCATTCAATGGGAAGGTGCGTTTCCCTGGCTGCATTGCTGTCTTTGTGACTTGTGGGCGGCCAGGGACACCAGCAGCCAGAGATACTCAGTGAATTGAGTGGACTGTTGTAGCATGAGGTCTGTTGTTCGTGTTCCAGTTACGCCATTTGAAGGTGGGTCAAGTGACGCTCTTGTGCAGACAGCCAGCAAAAGGGCCACGGCCCCACTAACAGAAAGACCCACTTACGCTTGCTCCATAGTGTTTAAGTGGGACTCAAGTGCCACATAACTATGGTCTGAACTTGGGTTGAGTTCAGACCATAGGAGCTCCCAAGAGAAACCGGGCAGTGGGTCCCACCAGAATATTTCTGCCCTGGCAGCTGCAACCTCTGTTGCTTAGAGCAGTAGCACTTTCCACCAGACTCAGGGTAACTCCCAAACTTGGTGCTAGTGGTTTTATTGGTAGACAAAAGCAAACAAGGTGAGATCATCAGCGGGCGTAAATCGGCCTCACTCCACTCAATTCAATGGCATGGGGCCAATCTACTCCAGATGAAAATCCAAGAGAGAGTTTTATAACCATGAACACATCTTACCCAGTGGCTACTAAATCTTACTGGTATTTGCTGGGAATAAGTTATTGACAGATAAATTGAGAGAAATCAGTTCAGCCTTTGGAACCAGAAGAATAAACTATTGGCAGATAAATGTCCATCTTTTATTGCAGAATCATGATAAACAACTTTTTGAAAACGTTTGAAAGAGACAATAATTTTAACTCTTCACAGACAGCGATAGCTGAATGTTTCTGGTTTTATTAATATCATAACAAGGCTGCATCAGAGACTAAAGCAGGAAGGACATTTCCAGGGAATGCAGGGGGTGAGAGCAGTGGGAACATGGGAATAAAAGCAGATATCAAAAGGATCGTCAAAGATCCCCCACATCAAACAGGAAGCAGAGCTGCTGGAGATCAGCATTAAGGTGATGCTACAGACTGATCCCAGCTCTTTTGGGGAAAACTCTACTGATAGACATAAGGACCAGCTGAGCCATCTGAGGGTCAGGAGGTTAAGAACACTGTGAGCGCTGCAAAGACTTCTCAATGTTCTTCCCATCGTGTGTCACCTGGCAGGTGTAGGTCTCATGGGTCTTCCAATCTGATGCATCCAGAGACAGGTAACTGCTGGCCATGTACTTGTTGTCACTCTGTTTGGATGGTTTGGTCGTCTCCACTCCAGTGGAGATCTGCTTGCCGTCAGCTTTCCAGGTGACTTGGGCTGCCCCTGGGTAAAAGCTGCCCAACAGACACACCAGTGTGGCTTTGCTCTTTGTACTTATCTCTTCCGAGGATGGAGGGAAGAGGTGCACTGTAGGAGATGCCTTTGGCTGACCTACAAGACAATGTGATTCAGAGTCAGATTAAGAACAAAGCCAAAGAGAATTCAGATTCACAGTGGAACATCAAATTCAGACGCTGCCAGTGCAGAATGCAAGGTACTAGATATTTTGAGCTAGATCCTCACCTACTATAAATCAATGTAGTTCCATGACACCAGCGGAGGATCTGGCTCTTCGGGTCTATAAAATTTTATTTTTTTAAATAAAGTCTGTGGGGCCTGAGGGAGAAACTGCCTGAAATCTAAACCAATGCTGCTTTGTAACTACAAAGTCTTACCATTAAAAATCAAATCAAAACTCATCTACATCCCTGGATTCTATCCGGCAACGATAGAGTGGAGTAGGACAGGAAAAGCTAAGTTCAGCTAAACCACGGTGCTAGCACAACACTGCAGCAGTGACTCTCTTCTTTTCAAATGACTTACTAGGTATTTCCCTGATAATGTTTTTCCACTGAAAGGACTATTCTATGGATACAGATCATCCTCACAGAGAAATCCTGCACCAGAATTTGGCAATATAATAATCTCCACTGTTAAACATTCCCTAGCATCTCTCCTTGTACTTGTTCCCTCTCCCACCAGCTAAGGAGCCATGTGGCACTGACGCTGCATTTGCAGGATTGCCCAGCAATTCAGGGCAGAGGAATGTAGCTGGCTTATTCTTTGAGTCAAACACATTTGATCTGCTGTGAGCTGCCATCAGAACATGGAAAGCAGCTGTTGCTTTCATACACAAAATGGCGCCCCACTACAGCTGGTCTGCTGTCATCTGGCTCTCACACGTCTATCTTTAAAACTGCCAGCTAGCATTTGCCATCCTGTGCCCACACCCTCTGGCTGTAGGAAATGTGGATGTTTCGGCGGGCTCCAGGTTTAGCTCTGACTTGGAATCCTGCCTAACCTGAGAGCTATTTAAATTGGTTGGTTTTTAATGGTTGGGATTATAGAAATTCAGTGCTCCTTCAGTATCTCCTCCCGCAGGATACTCCATACATGACAGAGCACTCACAGAGCGTCTTTCAAGTTTTTCTCCTTGCTGTTTTCTTAATACTTTAGGGCCGCATGTAGGCAAATTCAGCTCGCATTTAGGCAGGTACTGAGGGAAATGTTGAACCACTGACGTCAATCTGATCGCATCAGAGAAACCAAAAACAAAATTAGGGCCCTTAAAATGAGAATAAGGGCCCCAATCCAGTTGAGCACTTAAACGCGTGCTTAACTTGAAATGTATTAGCCATCCCCTGGAAGTCAATAGACTGGCTACTCATGAGCTTAAAGTTAAGCATGTGCTTAACTGCTCTGCTGGATCAGATACTTTGTGCAAAGATTTAGGGTAGATGATGGCCCGTAGGCAGCATCAGAGTTTCCGCAAGTTCAGAATCTGTCACGGCACCCTACGTTGCTAATTCCTGTGGGCACAGTTCTCCCACTGCAGATATCCTGCTTGCCTGGAATTAGGCCTTCGGTCCTAGCATTAATAATCTTGTCTGTTACGAGCTCACTGGCTCTACGGCTATAACAGCTGAACACCACATTAGCGGGAATGAATGGCCCTACTGAGAAATGCTCAGCTGAAGCCTGACCTGGCACAAGCCACAAGCCTATTGCGGAGTTCACAGTCACACCCGGGCATTGCTACGTCCGATTATTTCTGTGTGTTCAAGCTGGAGAAATTTAGCCTCTTAGGTCTTGATCCTGCAATCAGATCCGTACCACTGGCCCGGGCTGGATTCCTATTGGCGTCAAAGATGCTCTGTGAGTCTGCCTGTGTGGATCCAATTGCAGGAGTGGGGCAATATTTTATCTGAGGAGAGAGCCAGAAGGGCTCATTCTCCTGCGTTCAATTGTACAGCATTTGGCAATTCAAAGATGTATCTATAGTTAACTAGATTCTCTAGGGCAAACACTCCTCTCATCTACGCTGTGAAAATCCCGTGTAATCAATGCACTTCACAGTAACCGAGAAGAATATGGCCCAATATTTTCAGAAGCCAATTTCAGCTCATGTTTAAAGAAACCTCCTGGCTAATAACTGCCAAAGCTGCTAATATTCCCGGCACTGATTGCAGAACAAACAAGAGCAGCAGAGTTCCCGCTGTTTCATCAATGTAGTATTCATTGATTGTTCAGTGCTACCTTGCAGTTAACGCTGCAACTGATAAGTAGGGAGATTCCCTCCTCCTGAAGGGAAACTGATCCTTCAGAGACGTACTCCCTCATCCCTCCCCCAAGGAGACCCATGTGCTAGCACAGAGGCCCACTGGATTCAGTGGTCATTGATAGTCACTGAGAGTTAAAGGTTGTGGTCAGATTCTCAGCTATTGTAAATTCGCGGCTTTGATTGAGAGGGGCTAATTTATATATATATATAAAATGTTTGTGTGTGTGTATGTGTATACACACACACACACATAAACACACTGTTGGAAGGAGAACCCATCATTTTAATATCTTCTAGGACAAAGTGAATCCAGTTACTCCAGCTGTACACCAATGTAACCGAGAGTAGAATTTAGCCCACCGTTTCTAGATCAGGGTTCATTTTCTCTTAAATGACAATATGTTAGTCCCATCAGAATCTCAAAAACTCCTAGTTCAGCGGCTTTCAACCTTTTTTCATTTGCGGATCCTTAAAAGATTTTGAATGGAGGTGCGGACCCCTTTGGCAATCTTAGCCATAGTCCGTGGCCCCCCAGGGTTGAAAACCACTGTCCTAGATGTTTCAGGAGACGCTTCCTAAAAAAAAAAAAATTCTAACATTGCTGGTGTGACCCTGTCTGCTGCTGGTCTCCCTCTCGCTAGCAGAGAGGAATAAATATCTATGGATAAACTCCCAAAGGAAATCATCCCTTGACTTAGTCCTGCATATTCTGACTGTTCAGACCTGCACACACGGCTTGATTCTCAGAGATGCTGAGCACCCAGCACTGCCATTGGGAGCTACGGGCACGCAGCACCTCTGAAAATTAGGTAATAAGATTTGTTCACTTTCCTCTTAAGCATGTGTGGTAATTGCCAGCTCCGTGGTCTGACACTGTACAGCAATTCCTACTGATCTGATTCTCAGAGGCACTGTGCCACCACAGTTCCCAGTGAATTCATAATCTGGCCCATTTCAATGCAGCTGTGCAACGCTGGGCAGCGACACACTTCTGTCCTGTCACAAAGGTCCTATCCTATGTCCCGAAGCAGAAGATATCAATTCCCTGCCTTTGCATGTGCAAGACACAGAACAGTGGCGTTAACTGGTCATAAAATTATCCAGCTTCTTGTTAACTCAAGCTACAGTGTTTTACTCTAGCATCTCCCCTGGGGATGATACACCCTTTTACTTAGCGAATCCTTCTATCTAGAGACCCCTCGGCTCAACGGGCAGTGAGAAGGGAGGAGTGAGCCGTGTTCGCTTGCTAACAATCACAGTCATTCATTCATAATCTTAAACACTTTGACTGAATCCTCTCTTGCACCGCTCTGTTCCAGGCTACAGAGTCCTACCTGGAGCAGTTCCTCATCCATACGTGAGTCTCGCTATTTAAGACCATCTTTGTTGCCTATCTAGCTACCGCGGGTATTTCTAGCGCCCATCACAGTAATATCTAAGTATCTGCATGACAAGGAGAAATCCTCCTCTGGATCTTTTCAGCAAGCTCCGATTCAACAGTCACTAGACAGCCAGCCAGATGCTTAAAACTGAACAGGCTATTTGCAAAAGAGGGTGTCTCATGTTTCAAGAAGAAGTCATCAGAATTTGCTCTGTATTCTTTTTAATTGCAACTGAGAATTCAAAGTATCTTTTTAAGTGCTTCTGCCCCCGGGACTGACCTAAAACATCCACCTATATTTTCAAGAGATGTTTCTAGCTCCCTCTCAATTGACTGACCGCTCCCATTTTCTGACTCTGAGTTGAAAACTCTCACCAAAACCTTCTAACTTTTCCAGCATAACCTCAGAAAAAGCATTAGACATGAAAAAAACCCAAAAAGCAGCTGTCTTTTTTGACTATTTCTGAAACGGAGAGCCTTTCCCCCCCCTTTTTTTTGGCTGCAGGACTGACCAGTCTTCTACGAAACTAAAACCTTATATCTCAAACTCCTGAATATTTTCTCCTTGTTACCATAGCCTTACCTGGGTATCTTTCCATCAGAGAGTGAAAACTGACATAGAAAGTTTTGTTAGATAAACAATTAAAATACAATTTGGCTGGGCTCTGAAATTAGGAGGTACCCCCCCAACTATTGCCTGTAATAAAACAAAACCCCGTTATGTGACCAAAGATTTGATCAATGGGGACTCATCAGTAACGAAAGGACAAAAACATTTTACAAGTGGAAAAATCTGTAACAACACAGGACCTGCGTTTTGTCATTCAACAGAGCAACCCCCCTCCGCCCACGCACACATTTTCATGGTGATTAGGACAGAGTAGAAGAGCACCCAGCCCGGAATAGACAGAGAAGTTGAGAAAGGGAGACAAAGGAAAAAAATTCAAAACCCGCAACAACTGGGAAACGATTGTAAATGAATATTAGAGTGACTTACCAAGGACGGTCAACTGGGTTCCGCCGCCGAAGATATACGCACAGTGACACACGGCTGTGCAAAAATATCCCGGCAGCTGCTTGCTTCTGCTTTGTGGCCCGGGCGTCCCATCGGCGGGGTGAATTAGATGGGGTGGTTGATCAGCCAGAATGTTGAGCTTTGGGAGAAGGGACCCAGATTTCTCTTCTCTGAAGAAACTTGGGTGATACAGGTAGACGGATAATAGTTCAGTGGGGAGTGTAATTGTGGAATCAGCTTCTCTCCCAAAGGAGAAGCCACTGTGCCTCTGGTCAAGGTCTTGAGTTAAATCAAATGCTAATCCCAAAGAACGAACTCTCATTCTCTTTGAGTCCTAGCATAGGGCCTTTCTATTCAGGTCTGTTTGTCTTGGAGCGTCTTGGCCTGTCTTCTTCACCAGCTCGTCCTTTCTGGATCTTTTTTCCTCCTCATTTTGGCAGAATGGGGTCATTGGGCCCAGCTTTGTTTCCATTTCAGTGTTTTTTGACCTTTCTACGGTGCCCCGCTACATGGCACCGTGTACATATGTAAACGCAGTTAGTGTAACATTAGCGGTGCTGGTGCACAGCAGTGTACGGAACCCATAGAATAAACCAGATCACAGACATGAACAGAATTTGCACCCGCCGGTTTGGCACAGGAGCTGTCGGCCTGGAGTCCAGGGGCCTCCAGGGAACCGTAGAACAAAACGTGGAGAGCTAAGCAATAGGGAATTGGGAGGAAGGGGAGCCTGGGGCTGTGTGAGGGGCCCTCGCTGTTATGAAGTTCTCCACAGAATGGACAAGGTGGTAGGATGTACGGCTGGGGACTGGAGTATGAATCAATAATATACATCGTACTGGAGTTGATAGACGGAATGAAAAAGAGGCTACATGATTATTCCCAATCTCTAGAATGTTGCACCGGGCCAGTTCTAGGAAAGGGCCACAGTTCCTAGAGTCTCCCCTTACAAAGCCAGCACTTTATGGGCCCCCCTTTATCCATATCTCCCCTGACAGCTTGAACCACCCCACAGACCATGGCACTTCCCCCCACTCCATGGCTGCAGACTCCCCTACTTCTCAGGCTGAGTGTCTGAATCAATGTGTGATCTGAAATGGTCGGGGAGGCAAGAGGGTCACAGACAGATGTCTAGAGCGTAGTGGTCCCTTTGCCCAGGTCCTGTGGAAACCCAGAGCCAGCCGTCGTGCAGCCTTGTTTTGGTTTAGGTCAAGACAAATAAAAATCAAGAAAAAGGCGATATTACGACTTTAAACCTGGTTTACCTGGTTCTGTATTTCTAGATTTCCAGCGAGCCTGTGGCTTGATTCCCAGTGGGTCCCACTGACACACAAGGTCAGGACAATGAGGTTCTTTGCTCTGAAATCCACCTCGATGCTGTGAATGAATCCCATTCTGGAAGGAGAATGCAGTGACTAAAGGACACTTGGTACTGAAGTATCAGCAGCATCCTCCATTGGGCCCCCAGTGAAGGCAGCTCTGGAGACGTCTTTAGAACATATGAGCGGATCAGTTTCCCCAGAAGGCCAGTCAGAGACATCCCTGTGAAGCAGCAGGTAGGAAGGCTCCTGGTGTTTGTTGCAATGGATGGGTTACTCTTGCTGTAAACGGCCCTCCGAGCCCTGGGGCTTGGTCCTTGCTGGGAACCAGGGAGTGATCCACGGCAGGGGGAACCCACAGGCCATTTCCAAGTTTTGAGCCATGACGTGTGGTGTCTCTTAGGATTAGGGAGGGTCTAGCTGCCCCTCACAGAGTACAGCCCTCTGGATGTTCACACTACTGATGTCTACCATAAGCATCTTCTGTGCAAGCTCCTGGGTCCCAAGAAAGCCCCAGAGGTCCGTCTTTCTGTATGTCCAAGGCACAAAGCAAAATTGTCCCAACAGATGCTGCTCCTACAGTCTAATTCACTGCAGTAGCAAGATAAGTCTTTCCCTTATCTGCCCTGGAGGGGATGGACAGGCACCATCTCAGCCACGGACAGAGTCTCCTGCTCAACTGGCCTCTTCGGGAAGCCCACACCTCTGGCTCTGTCACCTGACTGGGAACTGAAACGTTGCTTCTTAGCCCCTGGATTCTCAGCCTGTTACGCCTGACAAGCTGAGCTTGGTGTGCGCAGTACAGGCAAGAGACCGAGAGGAACATCGGGTGGTAGGTACAGCTGGCGAGGCAAGCTTGGAGGGGAGGGGCCAGTAGCCAAGGGCCAGGAGCAGAACAGGAAGGGCTGACTCAGACAGAGTCAGCTTGGGCAGTGACTGCTGATGCCTGACGACATCTGCAATAGCAAGTCCCCGGGGACAGGTTTAAACTGAAATTCAAGCCTGCTCCGTCAACCCCAGATTCCCAAGCTACTAGGGCTTCCTGTTGCTCTTGAAAGCCTTTCTTCAATAACATCCCCTTTGAACGTCCCCAATCCCATACTGCGCAGGGTGTTCAGTCCGGACAGAGCAACCCCCCCACACACACAGCTGGTGGGTGCTATTTTAAATGGAAGGATTTTAAAGTTAACGTCAACATATTCAGACACCTGATTTCATGTTCCTGGGGCGGGGGGCGGATAGCAGAAACCTGCACAGCTAGTTGGTGCTGGGGAAATACCTGGTGTTCAGCTGAAAAGATGAGGGCACTCATGTGACATTCCCCAGCCTGATCATTCTATTGCTGCTCCGAAGGGGCAAACCAATGGGGAGCCCCTAGAAAGCCATTCGAAGCGGCGAAAGGCTCCATCTTTTCATAGCTTCCTGGGGAGCGGGGGGGTCACACTCATGGTTTTATTTCAGTCGAAGCGGCTGCCCTTGTCCCTTGTCCGGAGCAGCCAGAGCTGAGAACCGTATGGATGTGCTAATGGTAAGAAAATGCACCTGGCCTATCAGAACAAAATCCCCCTGGATCAGTTGATGATGGCAGATGGACTCATGGGATTTACCTGTTTCACAGCCGGTTGCTTGACCCTGAGTGGCAGTTTTGTATACCTGAAATTAACTCATAGGCTGGGAAGTGCCAGTTGGTACCAAAACACTTAGCCGATGAAAACCTGCAGTGTGATGTAATGTGGGAGGGCAGTTACCATGTGTAATCAGTATGTGCCCTCTGCGGTCAGCTCCTGTGGTTACAAGTTGACTTGTGGTTACATAATTTCATGCTTCTTTTTTTCCATTGATGCACTGAAACACTCTAGTCACGGGGGAAACACACGGTGGGGTTGAGCAGCCTTGCGTTGCCAACTGTCCTGCGATTGCACACACATCTGGCACATGGTGTGTAACGGTCTGGCTCCTGGAAACCACTTCCTTTTTCTGCTAATCCCTGAAAGGAAATCAGAGTAGTTTCTGGGGAACGTAGGTGCCTCTCAGCGCAAGTGGCAATCACTCTGTTTATAGTTCCCTGCATGCGCAAGAAGCATCATGCAAGAGCCAGGCTCTCAGGAAAGCAAGTCTCCCGTCCTTCAGTTGGTAACCGTTCGCCTCTGGGAATCTGGGTTCAAAGTCTTTTTATGGCAGGAATGAGGCTGAGTTGGTCTCTGCCTTGCCCCTGATCTCATGGGCAGTCTCCCCACTCGGAGAGCTCGGAGTGGAATAACCATGGTGCTGGGGGTTAGGACTAGGGTGGAGCTGCCTGGAGAAGTGGCCGGTGCTCTGGCGGGGTCTAGCCAGGGTTGTCAATCCCTCATGTGTAAGAGCACCTGTCTCACCAGTTTGCATTAAACCAGAACCAGGTGAAGAGCCCCGTTAATTCCTTTCACTACCGCCAGGAGCGACTGGGCCAGAGAACGTATTCCCTGCTTACCTAGCGTGCCGTGCTGCAGCTGAACGTGGGAGCCAGCCCAGCCTACACGCACGCAGGCTTGGGGCTGCTTTGCACTGGATTCAGACTGGTCAACCGGGTTCATTTAGCCTGAGAAAAACTCAGACACCAACAAAACCCAAACCTCTGTGTGTGGGGGTGGGGTGGGGTGAGGTGTCTCATAGACAATCCCACCCCCTTTGCTTTACTCCTTCCTGGCTTATCAGACAGGTAAGGGTCAGAGACTCGGCAAAGAATCGAACCAAAACAGAGAACACCAGCCCGGCTTTCACAGCCAGTAGCCCCCCCGAGCATCGGCATTCCCCACCCCCCTTGTCTGTGGCCCAGGGCAACTGGTAGCCAGTTGAAGCTAATCAGACTCCCATTATCACCAGCTTTGTTTTCAGTTGTTCTGGCTGCAGGTCCCTGCCTCGCCCAGCCTGCCCAGTTCTCCCACAGGCCAGGGCCTGGGCAGCATCCCAACACCTAGCCCCTGTTTGGAGGATCGAATGAAACTTCCACAGGGCTCGGGGCTTGTTGTCCTTTGCCAGGGTGTCCTTTCACCCTGTTATTAGCACAGTCTGCGTCAGAGCCAAGCTTTCAGCTCTACTGGGTGATTGGTCAGTCACGTTGTGCAGTCAGGGGTATTGACACGTATCACTTCACAATGGCCAGGCCCTGGTCACATGGAGCGGAGACCAATTGAGCTCTGATGGCTCATCAGCTGAGTGATCAGCCATGGCCGCAGTGAGTAGCTGCTCAGCCTTGCGTGGGGTGGCTGGGCAGCCCAGCCTGCCAGAGCGCCTCGTGCTGGGACCGTGTCAGGCCTCTCCCACTGCAACTGCTTGAGCTGGACGTGGAGACCTCCAAGAAACACCTCGGGGGCCGCAGGAAGTTGGGTGTTGTAGGCGGGGTAGGTGCTGAGGCAGAACGGAAGCATGGCGTGAGGGGACACGATTTCTGGCAGAAACATCTCTTAGAGGCAGGGCCGGCTCCAGGGTTTTGGCCGCCCCAAGCAGCCAAAACCAAAAAAAAAAAAAAGTTGCGATCTAAAAAAAGCCGCGATCGCGACCTGCTGCAGCAATTCGGCAGGAGGTCCTTCACTCCCAGGCGGAGTGAGGGACCGTCCGCCGAATTGCCGCCGAATACCTGGACCTGCCGCCCCTCTCCGGAGCAGCCGCCCCAAGCACCTGCTTGAGAAGCTGGTGCCTGGAGCCGGCCCTGCTTAGAGGAGACGTGAAATTGAGCTCCTGTAATAAATAATAATACAACTGTGGAAGCATTTTGCAGCCGTCTAAGGAGCTCCTGGCCATTTGGGTTCACTGAGACTCCACAGCACTTTTGCAGGTGTTAACCCCAGTGACCTGGCCTGTTGTAACAAAGCTAGTTACATTCTGCCTACCTCCATTTCTCATTGGATCGGCCGTATTATTAGTCTGTGCTGCCTGCCCCAAACTTGTGTGTAGTGGCGTTGTTGGCTGTACATCAGCTGTCTCCCTTCACCCCAGAGGTGGCTGCCGATCAGTGATGGGTGATCTTTGTATATCATTTTGAGAGGGGCTTTGGGAATCCTCCGGGATCAGAGAGGGCTTTCTTAAGGCAAGAGACTGTTGGTTTTGCTCCGGTGCGCTTGGGCAGCCTTGCATGGCAAGGTGGGGCCGATTACCGTGCGCCGCATGAGCAGCCTTGCCTAGTGTTCACCGTGCCGTCTCTGTGCAGCTGGTCACGAGCAGCTCCTCCAGGTCAGTCGTTTGTCCCAGCATGTACCTGAGTCTCTTAGGGATGTGAATATTATCGGTTACTCAACTTCATTGCTGCTTAATGAGTGCAGTCTTAGCAGCTCATAATGCCCCCATTTCAGACAGGGACGCTGAGCCGTATACTCTAAATAATTCAGGTCAGGTAAACGTTTTGTAGCAAGCTGCCATCTCCCATCAAGTTATGCATAAGTCTAGTCCATGCAAAGGGAAATGATTAAACTAGCCAAAGACAGGAACAAGAGATGGACCCAAGCCCTGAAATGCAGCAAGCAAATTAATACTGGGCAAATGTCAGACAGCACAGTTCAGATAACAGGCAAGGCCCAGCTCCCAGAGCTAACCAATGAGCCTCCCTCTGCTAACTCCCTGACAGTGCTGGGAAATTCAGATCTGGATCCCTCTACTCTCCATGCAGTTACCTCTCTCCCCCCCCACCCTCCCGGCCATCTTCTTTTTCACACACACAGTTTGTTTCTGCTTAGATCCAGGGCTTGGGTTCAGGCCTCTCTAACAGGAACTCAACTGAGAGGAAAAGAAAACAGATTGGCCAAAATTTTCAAAGGTGACCAGTGATTTGGGAGTATCCAAAGGGGGCCAAGCACCTGTCCTGTGAAAATCAGGCCCCTTTCCCGTGTCTTTAGTTGGGCAAATAGAAACAGAGGCTCCCCAGAGCCCTGTCCTTTTTGAACATCTTAGCCAGATTATGACTCCTGGGTATCCGAGGGAATGTGCAACTCCACCCACGCCCCCCAGCCCTGCACTAACCTTGTTCCCTGGTGCACATCCCCATCTAGTGTCATTTTGCAGCAATGCCACACCAAGATTCCCATGTCTATTTCAACCAGACCCTTACAGCTGGAGACGCTTCCTGCTTGGGATGAGCCTGAAGATGGCAGCAGAGCCACAGAGATCGGAGCTGATGTGACTTCAACGCTCACCTCACAGACTGTAGTGTCAGACAAGCTGGGGCTGGGGCAGGCAAAGCCAGGCCAGCAGAGGTCAACGTGCACCAACAGGTCTTGTGGCTCCTGGCAAAGGCAGAGTGTTTCCAAGGGCTAGCTGCCCAACGGAGCAGGTTCTGCCTGCTGATCACTTATGAAAGAGCCCGGTTCCTACCCGGGCACCTCACAGGTCCTCCCTGGCTCTCTGAGTGCAGAGACCGACTCCTCAAGTCATCGGCCTGGTCACAGCTTTGGAAGGGATTGCCCAGGGATTGGGGCAATCTCACAAGGATAAGATAGAGCAGAAACCCTCTCCCAGTACGTCTCTATATCATTCCTCCTTTTAGTGACCTCAACGGCCCTTTTCTGACACCAGCGTCACCCCTTGGCTGAGCGGTGGCAGTTGTTAAGGCCTGTCACCGACTCATAGATCGTGCCCACTCTTGGCCCCGTGCGGTCTGGGGGTGTGTGTCCCTTTCAGTCAGACAGCCCTTCTCGGGGGTCCACTCTCTCTCAGGGTCAGGCCCCTCCACCTCCTGGAGCCGCACTTCTCTGAGCCTTAGCACGTCTGTCTCTCGCCGTGGGCCCCCTCAGGGAGTCCACTTGCTCTCGACCCCCCGGGGCCTCCACCCCCCCGAAGGGGTTGATGCAACCCTGTTCTCTAGACCGGAGTGACTCAGCCAGCGTAAAACAGGAAGGTTTATTGAGCATTGAACACAGCACAGGAAACTCTCTGACCCTTAGGCCTGGCCTCCCTCAGCACAGCACATCCAAGTCTCTCCCTGCATCCAGGTGGGCTCTGCCTGCTTCCCCTCTCCAGCCCCAAGCCCCCCTGCTTCCCAGCTGGGCATCTGATATCACTGGCCCCAAGCCCCGCCTCTGTCCCTTGTCTTCTCTCCAGGTAAACAGGGTCGCCTCGGCCTCCTGTCCTCTGGCCCCTTCTGGCTGGAACGGGCTGGTTAGGTCATGGGGTCCCCTCTTCGCAGCCCATTGTCCTCCCACTGGCCAGAACCGGCTGCGACTCCTGAGCTGGGTCTCCGTCAGGTCACCAGTTGCTGGGGTGTCCCTCCTCCAGGCCATCAGCTGTGGTCCCAAGTTCCCTCTCCGGTCCTCTGCAACAACAAACTTCCTCTCCCCTCACCTTGTTAAACCAGTAACACCCAGGGACACTGAGTCCCACTCCTTCTGCATGCAAACCACTGGAAAACCAAGAAAAAATAAAAAAATCCCCCACTTCGTCACAAGGCCATTCGGGTCAGTTCCCCCGGTCCATGGGCTTGTTTTACACTGGAAATCTCAGGATCTCTCTTCGCTGCAGGCTCTGGTGTCCTGGTGTCTCTAGCCTCTTTTTGCTAGAAGCGGGGATTGGGCAACAGGGGATGGATCACTTGATGATTCCCTGTTCTGTTCATTCCCTCTGGGGCACCTGGCATTGGTCACTGTAGGTAGACAGGATACTGGGCTAGATGGACCTTTGCTCTGACCCAGTGTGGCCGTTCTTATGTTCTCTTGGCAAGATCTCTAGGGCCCTGAGTAGGGATGTCTCCTGAGGGTGTAACTGGAGCTGGAGCTCCCCCTGCTCATGCTGGAGGGGGTGATGACCCTTAGGCCGTCTGAGCAGCGAGTTCCCGTCCTGCACGAGGAGATGGAGGAGGGAGACGGAGAAGGGCCATTCACACAGTGCACGAAGGGAGCTGGGAAGAGTTCGCCTCCCCATGAAAAGAGAGAGGTGGAGGGGGGAGAAGGGCAGCGATGTTCCACCTGACCCCCTGCAGAGGGAACATGAGGAGGAATCAGGGGAGCGCTGTGCATCTCCTGAGTGAGGAAATGGACTTCACTGCGAAGAACAACTGTGATGAGTTATAGGCAGAGACCAAACACTGCAGCCTGTGCGGTTCTGTCCCCCACGCACCACCACACAGCCCAGGGTCTGGGAGGGGAGGTTTTTGTCTCACTTCCCCATCTGACTGTGACACTGTGATGAGCACTGCTGTGCTCCACAGCACAGTAATAATCAGCCTCGTCCTCCACCAGTGTCCAGGAGATGGTCAAGTAGCCGGTGTTACTGGCCGTGTCTTTGGAACCAGAGAAGCGAGCAGGGACCCCAGAGCCCTGGCCCTTGTCAGAATCTGACTTGTATCTCAGCAGGTATCGTGGAGAATTCCCAGGTTTCTGTTGGTACCAGTTCACATAATAGTCACTGATGCTGGTCCCACTGCTCATGGTGCAGGAGAGTTTCACGGTGTTTCCTGAGGACACTGACACTAAGGGCGGCTGAGTCAGCACAGGCTGTGAACTGGAACCTGGAAGAAATATGGTAGAAACCTGTCAAACCCTCCCTGTCCGTCCCCAGCCGCTAGTAACACGGGTTGTGCAATTGGCTTCAGCAGTAACTTTATTGTGTATTTAACCTGCTCCCCCTGTTCTCACCTGTGCACCACGTCCCCAGTAGGACAATGAGGGGAGCCCAGAGCATGGTGAGGAGATTTCAGGCCCTTGGGAGAAACCCAGCGAGAGCTGCTGACAATGCCTGACAGTGTCTGCTCCTTATATTGACCCTCCTGGGGGAGGAGCTGTTAAGTTCCTCCTTTATGTTCATCTGCTCTCATCTGATTGGCCCTGACGATCACAGGGAGGGGGCTGTGCGGGAGGAGGGACAAGCTACAGCCCTATAAGATAAAGCTTCCACATCCCAGATGAGATTTGACTATTCGTGTCTAATCTGTGAACAGTTTGGGGTCGACCGAAACTGCATCTTTAGCTGAATAAATTATTTGTCAGAAACATTTTCCCAGCTCCAGTGATGCATAACTCACTTTTGCCCGAGTGGTTCCCTCGGTCTGCTCCCGGTCTGTGTCCACTGTTTGGTTCTGCTCTGGGGTTCTCGGAGTGCCTGGGCAGGCAGGTGGAGTCTGCAGGGCTCTCTGGCTGCTGTGGGGTGTGTGGAAAGACCTCAGGTCCGTGGCTGAAGAGGGCTGAGGAAGTTACAATAAATGTTTGTCAGTCTCAGGGCCTCGTTCCCAGCACATCCAGACCAGGGAGATGGGCAGGTATCCACCTTCAGGAGCATTTACTCTGCCCCAGGGGAAGGAATAAAATAGGCAGTGAGAGCTAGTTCAGTGGGGACAGGCCTGGGAGCCGGGAACTCCATCGCTCTAGTCCCAGCTCTTGCACTGACTGCGCACCCTGCATGGACTTAATGTAGCACCCACAACTCTAATCTGAATCCTTAAAAGCCTAGAACAATTAATCTCTTTGCATTTGTTTCTTTGCATGGTTATCTTGCAGAGTTTCTTAGCACCCTGCCTTTAGAGGTAGGACCAGGAGTATCAGTGCCCCATTTCCCCCCTGTAGTTGGGCTGACCACTTGGGACTCAGTAGATTCAGTGGACTTGTTTACTAGTGCTTGTATTTCTGAGCTGGATGTTAGCACAATTTCTATTTGTCCCATATTTTCATTCTTCTCCTGCACAATTCTGTCAGTGCTCATCAAATACTGTCTGTTTCTTCCATAGACATCTCCTTCCTCTGTCTCAGCAAGATAAGGTTTTGGAGCAGGGTGTTGGTCAATCACCAATGCAGATTTCCATACTCCTGTTTGACAAATACAGTCTCTCCACTTTTCAGTGATGATAAAGGCTTTGCACCTTGTCAAAGAAATATTTCTGCGTTGCTTGTCTCAATTTTAGGCTAGTTTGTATGTCTCCTTGTATCAGCTTAGGTTGTACCAATGTTGATGAAGTCAGTAATCAGGTCCTTAGATGTCTTCCCATGAGGCGTTGAGCAGGTGATCTCATACCTCCTATAGGTGTATTCCAATAGTCCAGCAGGCTAAGATAGGGATCTGTGTTAACCAGGCTAGATTTTTTAAGAATCTTTTTTACAGTTGCAACTGCTCTCTGGTCATTCCAGTTGATTGTGGGAACAATGGATTTCAAGCTTTGTGAATCAAGTCCCATTGCTTTGCAAAAGTTTTTAAGTCTCTGGCACAAAACTGTGGTCCGTTGTCACTAATGAGGTCTTCAGATATGCCATGCCTTGCAAATACAGACTTGTGATGTCTGATCACAGACACACTTGTGGTGTCCTGAAGCAAGCAGACTACTAAGTATTTGAATATTAATCAGCCAGAATAAGATAATCTGCACCTTGAATCTCAACTGTCCATGCCAAGTTTCTGCTAAGATCTGTTTGGGGCCTCATGTGGTAGCACCGGTTGCTTTTGATTTTTGTTTCTGAAAGTTTCTTATGTGGTGCAAAGACTGTACCATGTCCACAATTTGACAGCACATGCTTGGCCAATAGATGGCATGTTGAACTCTCCTTTTACATAGCTCTGCTCCCAGATCACCGTCATGAATAATAGCCAAGATCTCTTTTCTGAGATTTGCCGGTACTATGGTAACGCGTACGACACGAAATTGCTTGTGGCATTCACGGACATGCTCAGCACTGTGGAACGCCGCTTTTGGGATCAGGAAACAAGCACCGAGTGGTGGGATCAGCATGCATCTTTCGGAACACTTGGCTGTTCAGGAAGATGCAGGCCGGGACTTTTTTCCCAGAGTGGAAGATCACAGTAGGGGAAGTTGAAATGCCCATTGTGATCCTTGGAGACCCCGCTTACCCGTTAATGCCGTGGCTCATGAAACCCTACGCAGGGAGCCTTGGCAGCAGCAAAGAACGGTTCAACTACAGGCTGAGCCGGTGCCGAATGACTGTGGAGTGTGCCTTTGGCCATTTAAAGGCCCGCTGGCGATCTCTGTATAGCATCTGCTTGGCGCTCCAGGATGCTTATGGGCCGATCCGTGCTTTGTTGCCGGTGCTCTGTTCTTTGCTGCCGGTGCGCTGCGTTTTCCTGGCGGATCCTGCTTTCTCTCTCCCTCCACTGCTGTGCTTTCTCATTCTCTTTAATAGATTGCTGCATCACTTCTTGCAGCATGTCGTCTTTGCTTTTTCGTGGTCTCTTCCTGAGTCTTTGCAGTCTCTGAGCAGGCGATAAGAGGGACAGCTGAGGTCTCAGGGTTGATGCAGCTGTATAGGCAAAATGCAACGTTTAACAGAGGCAGCATTGTTTATACCAGACAGAGTAATGATTCCCCCCGCACTTAAGGAGTAGAAAACATACAGGGTCTACACAATTGCATAATTTTCCCGTCCGAAACAGAGCACACATATCCCACGGGAACCTCAAAATGGTGAGTAAGGGGGACTGATTGTTTCAGGGCTGCACTGTCCTCTGGGTTTCTGTGCCTTGGGGAGAGCCAACAGCTTCAGGGGGCACCTACACTGAACACTGTCCCAACATTTTCCACAGGAGTTTGTCCCGGACGATATCTCGCTGCTGAGGGTGACCTGGGAAGCAAGGAAGGGTCTTCTACTGCAATGCGGCTTCCGCCCTGGCCCATATGCAGCTTGCCTGTGTGAAGCAATGGTCCCCCCGCCCCTCGCGGCACAGAGGCGCGGACACATTAGCCTGGCTGGGACAAGGACCACGGTGGCTCTCCCGATAAACCTGCGCAAGCGCATTGCACACGTTCTGGATGAGACATTCGAGGAGATTACCGAGGCCGATTACCGCGATGTGATAAACCACATCAATGCACTATTTCGCATCTAGGCATGCATGCCTAACCCTCCTCTCCCAAAGAGCCCGCACCAAAAAAATTCCTTCCCGAAAAAAAAACCGCTTACCGGGAACCTGCTTTTCTGTTTGTCCTCCACCAAGTACCAGCCGCTGCGACTGGCTACCTTCCTCCTGGCTTGAGAAGAGCTCCTGGCTGCATGGCTTCAGGGATTCCAGGGTGTCTCCATCTGGCCCAACACCCTCACTCCCGTTTTCCTCCTCCTCTTCCCCCCCCCCCACCGGCTCTGAAGTGTCCATGGTGGTGCTCGGAGTGGAGGTGGGGTTAACCCCAAGTATTGCATCCAGCTCTTTGTAGAATCGGCAGGTCGCGGGGGGAGCACCCGAGCGGCCATTTGTGTCGCGGGCTTTGCAGTAGGCACTCCGCAGCTCCTTCACTTTAATCCTGCACTGCAGGGCATCCCGGTCATGGCCTCTTTCCATCATGTCCTTTGATACCTTCCTGAAGGTATCATAATTCCTACGGCTGGAGTGCAGCGGGGACTGGACAGCTTCCTCCTCACAAACACTGATGAGGTCCAGCAACTCACCGTTGCTCCATGCTGGGGCTCACTTGGTGCATGGAGGTATGGTCACCTGGAAAGATTCACTGATAGCACTCCACGCCATGCCGGGCTGAGCAAACAGGAAGGGGATTTTTAAAATTCCCGGGGAATGTAAAGGGTCGGTCACATGGTTGGTTACCTGAGGCCAGGGCAGTAAAGTTTGAATTGATGACCAGAGTGGCTAGAACAGGCATTGTGGGATACTGCCGAATACTTCTGGAGGCCAGTCACAGCGCATTGGGTGGCCACACTGGCACTGCAGCGCTGCAGCGGCAGCGCAATACACGCTATTCCTCTCGGGGACGTGGAGTACATGCAACGCTGCAACCACGGAGATACAGCGCTGCAAATGCCTTGCCAGTGTGGACGGGGAGTGAGTTACAGCGCTGGGGGCGGCTTTACAGTGCTGCAACTCGCAAGTGTAGCCAAGGGCTAAGACTAACAGATGTATTGGAGCATAAGCTTTTATGGGTGAATACCCACTTCGTCAGACGCATTTAATGGAAATTTCCAGGGGGAGGTATAAATATGCAGGCAAGAATCAGTCTGGAGATAATAAGGTTAGTTCAATGAGGGCGGGTGAGGTCCTCTGCTAGCAGTTGAAGTGTGAACACCAGGGGAGGAGAAACTGCTTCTGTAGTTGGCTAGCCATTCAGTCTTTGTTTAATCCTGATCTGATGGTGTCAAATTTGCAAATGAACTGAAGCTCAGCAGTTTCTCTTTGGAGTCTGGTCCTGAAGTTTTTTTGCTGTAAGATGGCTACCTTTACATCTGCTATTGTGTGGCCAGGGAGGTTGAAGTGTTCTCCTGCAGTTTTTTGTATATTGCCATTCCTGATATCTGACTTGTGTCCATTTATCCTCTTGCGTAGTGACTGTCCAGTTTGGCCAATGTACATAGCAGAGGGGCATTGCTGGCACATGATGGCATATATAACATTGGTGGGTTGCAGGTGAATGAACCGGTGCACACAATTGAAAGTGTTCTCTTTGTATTGCTTTATTCAGATCTCTCAGATCCAAGCACATTCTTATTTCATCTCAACCTGATTTGTCTACACTTACTATAGAATTGACCCATTTTGTACATTCGTCCAACTCTTGTTATTACTCACAACTGTTCCATATGGTGCAGTTCTTTCACTTCACTGGAACTTACCAGGTGCATAAATTGCAGCTGGTACTTGTGAATTCACCTTTAAGGTGTGCTTACCTGGGACGCACCCCAACCCTGCACATCCATCCTCATATTCGCTAAATGTATCTCAGTCACCTTCTGGTTCTTCCGTTACCAGATTGACCCTTTGCACTTGTCACAGTCTGTAAGCCCAGTACCGCTTGTGAGTGAAATTCCAGCAACGCTTTCTTACGCCAATGCTCACAGTCCAAACTGCATTTACCACAAACTTAAAGTTGGTCCCCTGAGTAGCTTCTCAGCTGGATACTCAAAGTGCAAAGTGGTTTGGACCTTAACGTGTTGTATGACCTACAGACATCACATTGGCCTGTGCCCCAGTATTGATTTTAAAGCTCATATTTTGTGATCGTTAATGAGAAAATCCACATTTCACTTGTCCTTGGGAAGCTCAGGACTGAGCACACTGAGGAATAGATCTTACAATTGCTCATCTGCTCCTGGCAGTGGGTGCGAGTCCAGTCTGTCCATGTAACAGGAATGGGGACGAGATCCCATCACTCTCTGAATTGTCCTTCAGAGCTCTGTGCATTGGGTGAGATTGTTCCAAGGGTTATGAGGGAGATGCAAATTCTGCCTGGAAGAATTTCTGGGCAGATTAAATATGATACCTGCTCCCCCACCTCTGAAATGGCCCCTCACGCTGTCATAGGACGAATGCTATTAAACGTTCCCCTTTGCTGACTAGAGGTTTGTGTCTCACTTCCCCATCTGGCTGTGTCACTGTGAGCAGCACCGCTGTCGTACACCTGACAGTAATAATCAGCCTCGTCCTGCGCCTGGACTCCAGTGATGGTTAACGTGGCCGTGTTACCGGAGTTGGCACCAGAGAATCGATCGGGGATTCCGGAGGGTCTGCTGCTACTACCATATATAACAAGTAGTGGGGCACTGCCAGGTTTCTGTTGGTACCAGTACACGCTCTTGCCCCCAATGTTGTTTCCTGAGCAGGTGAGTTGAGCATTTTGTCCTGGAGACACAGACACTGAAGGCGGCTGAGTCAGCACATACTGGGCCAGAGAACCTGAGACAGGAGGAGAAAACGTGGGGATAAAATCATGATGATTAAAGCTCTCAGCTAGGAGCCTGGGGGAACCAATGGGAGAAATGGTTCTAAACTCAAAGACCCCTTTGATTGAAAGACTGAGATAAGCCACCCTCCCCTCGCAGCACCTGAGCAGTACGTGAGCAGCACGAGGAGCAGAGGGGCCCAGGCCATGGTGGGAATCCAGATGAGCTCGGCTTCCTGAGGCAAACGGGTCTGTGGCTGGGACCCTCCGATTCTCTCTTAAACCCCCAGAGCTGAAGAACGGCCCCTTCATGCAAATCAGCTCCCTGCTCACTGGCTGCTGCTGCCTTTCACTCCCCAAGATCAAAGGGACCCAAGGGAGAGCCACTCTGTATAAATCCACCAAGACACCTATAGGGGAAAGGACTGCTTTGCATTTCAGTGGCAAGGAGAATGTCTAGCTTGCCCCAGAGGTGAGGAGCACCCAATGGGCCTGGTGTACTCAGAAAGTCAGGTGTAGACCCCTCTCCCCAGAAGTCTCCAATTTTATCTGCCTGGGACCTCAAAGGAAACTGTGGTTTCTTCTCATGCCCCCAGGCCACAATTGTTTTCAAAGTCATGCCACCATTTTCAGTCATTGCAGGAAGAAATCATGGCCAGTTTTGGGGTGATCATTTCTGGCGTGTGGATGGGGTGGGTGCTGTTGGATGGGGACTGTAATTGGGGCTAGTTTCGGAGTGGGGGCTGGATGAAGGCAGTTGATATTTGCAGACCTTGCATCAATCCCATGGTTCGCAGGACTGTCCTGATTTGACGCACAAACTCCCTATTCCACGGGGATGGCTGGGCCTGGCTCCTGACTCTGGGAACTGCAACCTGGCCCCTAGTGAGCGGGTCACGGTGCTGCTCCTGTCTGGCCCAGCCGCCCCATGGGAATGAGTGAGGAGCTGCTGGTTCATCTTTTCTTTGTACCGTTAAGCCATCATGCCAAGTGTGATGGCCCCGTTGATTCCTGGCAGCCCTCGCACAGCGTCCTTTGTTATTCCGCAGAGTGTGAGTGTTTGTGGGCTTGAGTCGGAGACGTCTGGTGCTGGGCGCGCTGACACCCCCTGACTCTGAGCGTGTGGCACACGCACCTCACCCAACACCCAGGGCTGGTGCACACCAGCCCTCACAGCCACTCTCTGCAGTGGGGTCGGCTCCCACAGATTATTATTGCCCCCTAGTGGCCAGCATCGCACTTGCCATGATCCCGTCCCTGACTCTCCAGGGCTGTAGGTAACATCACTAGCCAGTCCCTTCCAGCTTTCACCCCCTTCCTTTACGGATGTTCTTCTCCACACTAACCAGCTGATGCGGCCCTCGGCTTAGTCACATCAGGCAGGGATCAGTCAGTTATTCAGACACACCCGTCCCGGGGGAAAGGTCAGGGAGGCAGAACCATCCCGGACTCCTACACAGCGTTTTACCCTGTGCTTTTGAACGTTGCCAGACAGAGTAGAAATTGACTGTCACCACCTTAGAGTCCCTACACTGAGAGTGCCGAGGAACCGTAAATCTCCACAGAGTTCAGATGTAATAACAATATCCTGGGAGAGCATCTGTGTCTTTCGATGCCCCGGGCATTCACCCCACTCCCCCGAGGATTTGATTCAGAAGTAGAGCAACTGATGGGCTGCTGAGGAACCTGGACACCTCCTGAGAGGCAGGGGTGTGTCCCCTCTCCCTTTCCTTAGGACCCCCTTGGTTTCTCAGTAGCAATGCCTGCTGGCTGGGGCAGGAGCCCACACAAGAACTGTCTGCTGGGGGACTTTCCAACGCTCCACTGGGAGCAGAATGGGCCTCTCAACTCCCAGGAGCACGGAGGTCTGTCTGCATAGTGGTGGAGCCTGTGTCAGGGGAGGAGTGATTCAGCCCTTACCCACCCCAGCTCAGGACTCTGCGTGTGGCCAGCACCCCAGCAGAGCTATGCTAAGATGGCATCAGCCAGGGCCCCAAAAGACAGAATCACTCAGAGATTCCGGAGGGTCTCTCACTATCCTTATATAACAAGTGTGTGTGTGGGGTGGGGGGGGGGGCGCAGACAGGTTTCTGCTGGTACCAGCTCACATACTGTTTGTCAATCTCTTCTCCTGTGCAGGTGTGGGGTTGGGAAGGGGGAGTGTGTGACAGGAAGCGTGTGTGTGTGTGTATGTGTGTGTGAGAGGGAGAGAGAGAGAGAAAGAGACAATGTGTGTTGGGGGAGAGTGAGTGTGTTGGCATACTCTCCTAAATTCAAACAGCCGCTGGCCCAGAAACACCATGAGGTCCTTTCCCTCTGCGCCAGATGCACCAGGTATGGGTCAGGCAGGCTCAACCAGGCAGGATCCAGGTATGAAGGGGCTCAGTGTGGGGGGATCCAGGTGTCGGGTGAGAGGATTCTGTGTGGGACAATCTGGGTGCAGGCAGATTGTGGGGGATCTGGATGCACAGGGGCTCGCTGGGGGGGGGGGTTCCAGGTGCAAGGGCAATGGGACTCTGCAGGGGCTTCCAGGTGAAGGTGGTTGGGGATCAGTGGAGGGGTCTGGGTGTGGGGTCTCAGCAGGGGAGTCTGGGTGCAATAGTTGGGGGTTAGTGGTGTGGGGGGTCTGGATATGGGGGCTCAGGGGATGCGGGGGTGGGGCTCATCAGGGTGGGAGATTGAGTGCAGGGAGCTCAGTGGGGGGGGTGTCTGGGTGCAGGGGGGCTCGGTGCAGGGGGGCTCCAGATACAGGAGTTGGGGTTCAGTGGGGTGGGGTTTGGGTATGGAGTGCTGGGTGAGTTTTGGGTGCATGGGGTGAGGCTTGGCAGGTGTGTCTGGGTATGGGAGGTCCAGATGCGTGGGGGTTGGGTGAATGGGGAGCAGCTCCCCGCACAGTGACCCCTCCCTTTGCAGCTGAGGAGCGATGGGGGCAGGAAGCAGGGGAGGATGCTGAGCTTGCTGCAGCTGGGGGAGGTTTCTGGGGTTGGCTCTGACACAGCCAGGAGTAAAACCATTCCGCACCCTTCTGCAGCTTGTGGATGACCAGCTCCCCCTAGTGGTCAATGTCACACACGCCAGGATCCTGTTCCTCTGCAGGGCAGTGGAGCAGCATCACTTCACAGGCATTGCAGCACACAGGCTGTTCCTTCGCAGGCTGACCTGCTTCTCTGTGTCATCCAGGTTGATCACACGTCACCATCAACTTGGAGATCAGTGTCCAGCCTAGGACTGTTACCGGGTGAGTGAGGGGCGTCCTCATTCCGTGGGACAACAGAAGAGGTAGCAGAGTTCAGAGCTGTAACAGAGCCAGGGGTGGGTCTAATTCTTGTTTGTCCCTGTAAGAAGAATGAGGAGGAGACCCCATTGCTCCCTGCATCAGCCTTTTGCTTTGCAAACCTCCTGGTGAAATCTTGGCCCCACTGAAGTTATGGGAATTTTGCCAGTGACTTCAATGGGGCCAGGATTCTCCGCCATGCAGGGAGGTGAGATTGCTCCCAGGGGTTACTAAGGAGACATACTGTGAGCCCAGGCTGCTGAGAAGGGTTTGTGGGCAAATGAAATATGAAGCCTCCATCCCCAGTTTGGAAAGGGCCCCTCATGCTGTCACAGAAAGAATGCGAATAAACATGCACCTGACACAACAGAGGTTTGTGTCTCACTTCCCCGTCTGACTGTGTCACTGTGAGAAGAGCTGCTGTCACTATCCCACCTCTGACAGTAATAATCAGCCTCGTCCTGCGCCTGGACTCCAGTGATGGTTAACGTGGCTGTGTTACCGGAACTCGTCCCAGAGAATCGCTCAGGGATTCCGGAGGGTCTCTCACTATCCTTATATATAACGAGTACGGGGGCACGGCCAGGTTTCTGCTGGTACCAGCTCACATACTCTTCGTCAATCTTTTCGCCTCTGCAGGTGAGTTGAGCATTTTGCCCTGGAGACACAGACACTGAAGGCGGCTGAGTCAGCACGTACTGGGCAAGAGAACCTGCAACAGGAGGAGAAAACATGGGGATAAAATCAGGATGATTAAAGCTCTCGGCCAGCAGCCTGCGGACAATGGGAGAAATGGCTCTAAAATCAAAGACCCCCTTTGATTGAAAGACTGAGATAAGCCCCCCCACCCCCTTCCCACTCGCCGCACCAGAGCAGTAAGTGAGCAGCGTGAGGAGCAGAGGGGCCCAGGCCATGGTGGGAATCCAGACAAGCTCGGCTTCCTGAGCCAAACGGGTCTGTGGCTGGGACCCTCTGATTCTCCCTTAAACCCCCAGAGCTGGAGAACAGCCCCTTCATGCAAATCAGCTCCCTGCTCACTGGCTGCTGCTGGCACCTCCCTCCTCTCAGAGACAGCTACTGACAGACCCAAGAATTGTTTTGTTTTCTGGTTGCAAGGAAAAATGAAGCTCATCTTGGGGGTGAGGTGTCCAGAAGTGCTGTGTCTGCTCAGACCGTTACCGTTCAGAGCACTCCCCCTGGAACACGGATTCTGACTCAAACATTCCCCACTCGGCATTGCAAAGCTAGCTGGGTTTCTTGCCATGACTCTGACCCACAATGTTTATGGCTGCAAGAAACCCTGGCTGGTTTGGGGCTGTGTCCGATGGGACGGCTGCTGGTTGTTTAGGTGTCACTGGGAGATGTGGCTGCTGCAGACTGATGGCTTGTGGAGTGAGTGGCTGCTGCCTGGGCTCTGGAGTTGTGCTTGATTGGGGCTGGGACTGACCGGGATGGTGCTGCTGGGTGGCTGTGGGGGGCTATTGGAGCATGCTGCTAGGTGAGGCTCTGCTGGGAAGAGTGGAGTTGAGACCCTTCTGCTCTGCACACTCCTGGAGGGGAGCCCCACTGAAAGACAGCGAGGAACCAGCTAATGACCCCTGTGAACAATGGGGGGCCATGGGGATCAAGACAGCTGGCTCCTGACTGCTCCCCTTTTAGTGGTACTTCCCTGCAGCAGGCCAGTGTGGGCAGAGCGAGGGGAACGCTTGCCCCCTCTGGGTTATAGCAGCCACTGGGTTTTGGTGACCCTCCCAGCACCCCAAGCAAGACTGCCAGTTGGAGAATCCCTGCCCCAGAGACAGAGAGGGGATGGCTGGGAAGTTGGAATCCAAACAGTGTTCTCTAGGTCCCTTGTCCTGATCATGTGAGCGCTGTTGGGGAATAAAGAGCCGCAAAGCCCAGAGATCTCTCTAGCCCAGCAGTGTGTAGCCTGACTCGCGTTACACTGCCCTAATACACACTCTGAGCTCCAGTACTGCGAGGGTGAAGAGCACTCCCTGATGGTCAGTGCTGCTGTTACTAAGATTATACTGACCGGGGTTTCACAAAAGCTAGAGACCCTCCATGCTGAGCTCATCACAAAGCAGCCCCTACTCACTGTCTCTCACAGCTGCAGGGAACATCATTGTACAGTTGTTTACAGCATTCATGTTGTTCCTTTTCAGGGTGTTGTTCTCTGTGCTGGCTGCACGGATCATGTCATCAGCCTGGTCACATCTTCATCAGCCTGGTCTCATCTTTGGAAGGGATTACCCAGGGATTTCAGAAGTTGCACCTGCCTAGATTAAGACTAACGCGACCCAAGCTAGGGAAGTCACCTCCTCCTAGCTGGTTTGCTATTGTTGCCTCTTCCCGTTACACTAATATTCTGTTCTGACCCCAGTGGCACCCGGTGTGAACGGTAGTGGATGCTGGGGCCGGGTGGGCCAGTTCTCCAGTGGAGGGTCGAGCAGTGACGTGCACTGTGAATTTTAGGGTTGCCAATTTTGGTTGGCCGTATTCCTGGAGGTTTCATCACATGATATAGTCTTTATTAAAGATTAATCTTTAGTTCCTGGAGACTCCAGGACAATCCTGGAGGGTTAGCAGCCCTACCAGGTATGTTCTCAGTGGAATTTCTGTCATTCCCACGTACATCAGTCAAAATGTCATTCCTGGGTAGGCTGATGCTTCCCTGTGAATATTTAAGGAAACAGCCCTGCTCCATCACCCGACCCATGGGGTGTGTCTTATATTTAAAATCTCAGGATCTCCCTTCCCCCTCTCGGAGGCAGGCCCTTGGCAAGATCTCTGGGGCCCTGAATAGGGATGTCTCATGAGGGTGTAATCAGAGTGGCAGCTTCCTCTGCCCACCCTGAGGCTGCAGGGGATGGAAACCCTTAGTCAGTAGAGAGTTCCCGTCCTGCACAAGGAAATGGAGGAGAGAGACTGGACTGAGCAGTTCACATGGTCCATGGAGTGAGCTGGAACAAGTTGTCGAACCCTCTTCCCCAAGTAAAAAGAGAGAATGTGGCGGGGGAAGGGCAGAGCTCTTAGAATTCACCAATCTATTACAATTCTCTGAGAGTGTCAACAAGCATGTGGACAAGGGTGATCCAGTGGATATAATGTACTTGGACTTTCTGAAAGCCTTTGATAAGGTTTCACCCCAAAGGCTCTTAAGCAAAGTAAGTCGTGGGATAAGAGGGAAGGTCCTTGCATGGATCAGTAACTGCTTAAAAGATAGGAAAGAAAGAGTAGGAGAAAATGGTCCGTTTTCAGAGTGGAGCGAGGCAAATAATGGCATCCATAAGGATCTGGGTAGGACCAGTGTTCAACATATTCATAATTGAACTGGAAAAGGAGTAAGCAGCGAGGTGTCAAAGTTTGTAGATGATACAAAATTACTCAAGATAATTTAGTCCAAAGCAGATTACGAACAGTTACAAAGGGATCTCACAAAACTGAGTGACTGGGCAACAAAATGGCAGATGACATTCAATGTTGCGAAATGCAAAGTAATGCACATTGTAAAACATAATCCCGACTATACAGGGTCCTGGTGTCCCTAGCCTCTGTTTGCTAGAAGCGGGGATTGGGCAACAGGGGATGGATCACTTGATGATTCCCTGTTCTGTTCATTTGCTCTGGGGCACTTGGCATTGGCCACTGTAGGGAGACAGGATCCTGGACTAGATGGACCTTTGCTCTGACTCAGTGTGGCCGTTCTTATGTTCTCTTGGCAAGATCTCTAGGGCCCTGAGTAGGGATGTCTCCTGAGGGTGTAACTGGAGCTGGAGCTCCCCCTGCTCATGCCGGGCGGGGTGATGACCCTTAGCCAGTCTGAGCAGCGAGTTCCCGTCCTGCACCAGGAGATGAAGGAGGGAGACGGGGAAGGGCCATTCACACAGTGCAAGGAGGGAGCTGGGAAGAGTTCTCCTCCCTTCCTCCCCATGAAAAGAGAGAGGAGGAGGAGGAGGGAGAAGAGCAGAGATGTTCCATCCGACCCCCTGCAGAGGGAACATGAGGAGGAATCAGGGGAGCGCTGTGCATCACCTGAGTGAGGAAATGGACTTCACTGCGAAGAACAACTGTTGTGTGATGTGTTATAGGCAGAGACCAAACACTGCAGCCTGTGTGAGCCTGTGTGGGTCTGTCCACCCCTCCCCCCCCACACCACCACAAGGCCGAGGCTGGGGGAGGGGAGGTTTTTGTCTCACTTCCCCATCTGATTGTGTCACTGTGAAGAGCACCGCTGTGCTCCACAGCACAGTAATAATCAGCCTCATCCTCTGCCAGGGCCCCGGAGATGGTCAGATAGCCGGCGTTACTGGCCGTGTCTTTGGAACCAGAGAAGCGAGCAGGGACCCCAGAGCCCTGGCCCTTGACTGACTCTGAATAGTAGTACAGCAGGTATCGTGGGGAATTCCCAGGTTTCTGCTGGTACCAGAACACAACGTAGTCACTGATGCTGGTCCCACTGCTCATGGTGCAGGAGAGTTTCACGGTGTTTCCTGGGGACACTGACACTGAGGGCGGCTGAGTCAGCACAGGCTGCGAGATGGAACCTGGAAGAAATATGGTAGAAACCTGTCAAATCGTCCCTGTCCGTCCCCAGTCGCTAGTAACATGGTTTGTGCAATTGGCTTCAGAAGTAACTTTATTGTGTATTTAACCTGCTCTCCCTGTTCTCACCTGTGCACCACGTCCCCAGTAGGACAATGAGGGGAGCCCAGAGCATGGTGAGGAGATTTCAGACCCTTGGGAGAAACCCAGCGAGAGCTGCTGACAATGCCTGACAGAGTCTGCTCCTTATATGGACCCTCCTCAGGAAGGAGCTGTTAAGTTCCTCCTTTATATTCATCTGCTCTCATCTGATTGGCCCTGATGATCACAGGGAGGGGGCTGTGTGGGAGGAGGGACAAGCTACAGCCCTATAAGATAAAGCTTCCACATCCCAGATGAGATTTGACTATTCGTGTCTAATCTGTGAATAATTTTGGGTAGACCGAAACTGCATCTTTAGCTGAATAAATTATTTGTCAGAAACGTTTTCCCAGCTCCAGTGATGCATAACTCACTTTTCCCGAGTGGTCCCCTAGGCCTGCTCTCGGTCTGTGTCCACCGTTTGGTTCTGCTCTGGGGTTCTCTGAGTGCCTGGGCAGGCAGGTGGAGTCTGCAGGGCTCTCTGGCTGCTGTGGGGTGTGTGGAGAGCCCTTAGGTCCGTGGCTGAAGAGGGCTGAGGAAGTTACAGTAAATGTTTGTCAGTCTCAGGGCCTCGTTCCCAGCACATCCAGACCAGGGAGACGGGCAGGTATCCACCTTCAGCAGCACTTAGCCTTCCCAGGGGAAGGAATAAAATAGGGAGTGAGAGCTAGTGCTGTGGGGACAGGACTGGGAGCCGGGAACTCCATCGCTCTAGTCCCAGCTCCTGCACTGACTGCGCAGCCTTGGGCACGTCATATGATCTCCCTGGGCTGTGTGTATCTCTGATGTAACTGCACCGAGTTACAGGGTTCTAGAGCAGGGTGGGTTTGGCCAATCAGGTCTCTGTTTTCCCATTTGAGAAGTGCGGACTTTAACAATCAGTTATTTACCTCAGAGCCATGGTGAGAATTCATCAGTTCTTGCTCGTGGCTTTGGGGTGCCATTCAAAGGGTAACTCTTAATTTCAGGTGATGAATATAGCCCAATTATTGGAAATCTTAAGCAGCTGGACATGTGGGTGGCATCTTTACTGGCAGTCTTGCCAATAAAACCACAGACTGGCCTCCAGGAATAAAGAGCCCCAGAAAAGCACTGGGAAGGTTCTGTTGACATCTCTAATCTAACCCAGCCCGGTGCATTCCTACTACTGCCCTTGCCACAAAGTCAGGGCTGTGCTAATTAACTTTCACCCTCTCTCTCATGGCTCTGAGAGTTTGGTGCAGCTCTGTGCAGTCAGAGCCCTCCTGCTCCTGCACGTTTCACCTCAGGAATCAGCTCCCTAACAATCCTGTTATTCAGAGATTGTCTCTCTCTCCTATTAGTGCCTTTTTCACAAGCCTCAGGCCCTGCTCGCACTGGGGCTGTAGCGCGGGCTCTCAGGAGGCTGGGAGGGCTCAGAGAGTTCTACTGCATTCAGAGACAGATGCCCATGAATCCCAGATGCCCTTGGGGATGGAGAGTGGGAAAAGTGAGCTCTTGCTGCTGGCTCCAGGACCCAAGTGACTTTCTCCAGTGCAAGGTGTAATAGCTCTTGCCAACCAGCTATAAGAAAAGATCCGGGAGACTTTACGTAACAGTAAACACTTTAATTAACTTGTTTCAGAGTGGTAGCCATGTTAGTCTGTATCAGCAAAAACAACAAGGAGTCCTTGTGGCACCTTAGAGACTAACAAATTTATTCAGGCAGTTTTTGTCTCACTTCCCCATCTGGCCTTGTCACTGTGAGTAGTGTTACTGTCTTTGTGCCACCGCTCACAGTAATAATCAGCCTCGTCCTGCGCCTGGACTCCAGTGATGGTTAACGTGGCCGTGTTACCGGAACTCGTCCCAGAGAATCGCTCAGGGATTCCGGAGGGTCTCTCACTATCCTTATATATAACGAGTACAGGGGCACGGCCAGGTTTCTGCTGGTACCAGCTCACATACTGTTCGTCAATTTTTTCACCTCTGCAGGTGAGTTGAGCATTTTGCCCTGGAGACACAGACACTGCAGGCGGCTGAGTCAGCACGTACTGGGCGAGAGAACCTGCAACAGGAGGAGAAAACATGGGGATAAAATCAGGATGATTAAAGCTCTCGGCCAGCAGCCTGGGGACAATGGGAGAAATGGCTCTAAAATCAAAGACCCCCTTTGATTGAAAGACTGAGATAAGCCCCCCACCCCCTTCCCACTCGCCGCACCAGAGCAGTACGTGAGCAGCGTGAGGAGCAGAGGGGCCCAGGCCATGGTGGGGAATCCAGACGAGCTCGGCTTCCTGAGGCAAATGGGTCTGTGGCTGGGACCCTCCGATTCTCTCTTAAACCCCCAGAGCTGGAGAACGGCCCCTTCATGCAAATCAGCTCCCTGCTCACTGGCTGCTGCTGGCACCTCCCTCCTCTCAGAGACAGCTACAGACAGACCCAAGAATTGTTTTGTTTTCTGGTTGCAAGGAAAAATGAAGCTCATCTTGGGGGTGAGGTGTCCAGAAGTGCTGTGTCTGCTCAGACCGTTACCGTTCAGAGCACTCCCCCTGGAACACGGATTCTGACTCAAACATTCCCC